TTGCGAGACTAATCCCAACATTTGTAAAGTATTGATTAAACTCGTTCGACATTTTATAAGGACAAAGTATATCTGATTTATTAATATTAATTCTTTGAGGTAATACTGAACTTTTTATTTGACTTCGGCCCATTATGTCATTAGTTAATGACCATGTTTTTTTAACATCAAGCTTGGAATTGCTAATTTGTTTACTTTAATACATTTTTTTTGTTTTTTTAAGAAGATATTCATAAAAACACATAATTTTTGTATATTTTCTCATTCTCTGTACTATTATTTTTTAAGAAATTGTTGTATAGTTTTTTTTTTTTAGAACACTTTAAAAGTGTCTTATTCATCCAAGGATTATTAAGTGCTTTTGTTTTAATTTGTATTTCTTCTATATGGACAAGCTTCGTCGAATATCGCTAAAAGTTTAGCAAAAAAAATACTAAAAGCTTCGTTTATATTATGACAATTATAAACATCATTCAAATTTTCTAAATTTAATTTATTCGATAGTTTATTTGTATTATTGATGTTACGTTATTTTAAATTTGTAAACTTTGGGTGAGTATCCATAAATTTTTTTTAATAATAATGTAGATCGGGAAATGATCGCTTATATCTGTTTTAAAAATGCCTAACTGAAATAACGTTTTTAAGTAATTGTTAATAAGTATAATTATCAATTGCTGTTTTTGAGGTTTTATTCACTTTTTATTTTATAAACAACATTTCAAAAAACGATTTAGTTTTTGGAAAGTTGTGGTAATTCAGCGAGTTTAAATTTATATTACCGGATATACATAATTGTTTTTTTTTTCTTTATTTATTTTCAAAACACACTTTTCAATAAAATATTGAAACAATCTGATTTCTCCATATGGTGGACGGTAAACACACCCAATTATAGTATTTTGATTTTTGTTATTAATTATTTCAATAAAAAGACTTTCATAGTTTTCATTTGCTAAGCGTAATTGTTTTTTTATCTTAAATATATATTTTTCAAGTATGTAAAATACTAGTCCTCCACCTTTTTTATGATTTCCTCGTGGTTGGCTAATTACTTTGTAATTTGGCAAGCTATAATTAGAATTTGATTCAATCGGACTATCTGTTTCATGCCAAGTCTCTGACACAGCTATGACGTTAAACGTGTAGTTTATAATATTTAAAAATACTTTAAATTTTTCAAAGTTTTGACGCATGTTTCTTATGTTTAAATGTAATATAGAAAAAGAATTAATATCTTTTTTAATTTTAAAATTATAAGGATCAAAATATGATGTATTAAATTCATTTCAGTTTCTTTAATAATATTTAAATTATCTTTAGAAAAGTTAAGAAAATCCTCAAAAGGATCAAAATTTAAATTTTTAAAATCTTCATTAGCAAAAAATGTTCAGCCAATTTTAAAAATTAAAAATAAAAGATAAAACAAGAGCTTATTCAAGAACTCATATAAAAATATTGCTTCTTGTTAAATAGTCGGCAAAATTTCAACTACATCTCTATTTTTTTGCTTAAATTCGCGAACTATCAATTTATTAAATAGAACTTTTACATAATAGCTATTTTGCCTATGACCCGGTGAGAAAATGGCTAGCGAATAGCTAGCTATAATCCTTACGATAAAGACAGCGATTTGGCCACGAGGATCGCTAGCTTTTTTAAGTTAGCGAAAAGCTATCGATATTTTTAAAGATAAAGACAGCAATTTGGCTACGAGGACAGCTAGCTTAATAAGCTGAAGATTCACTGGCTAATTGTACTTAGCGTCATATCGTAATAAAATTGTTGTTTAAAAAACTTTTGATATGTTGCTATTAACCAACTTTGTAAATATTTTGTAGCTAGCTACAAAGCTACGATATGTAGCTAGCGACACATTGCTACAAAATCGCAATGTTTAAAGTTCAATTAATTTCATAGTTATAATAGACTCAACACTAAAAATTGAATTTTTAAAGATGTTAAAGACATTTGCAAAAAATATAATAAGAAAAATAAAAATCGCTAGAAAATCGCTATAGAGCTAGCTAGTCGCTAGCTAGTTGCTAGCTCATTTCTCACCGGGGAATTTTAGCTTGTGCAAATAGTTCTTTACGAATTCTTCTAGTTGTTTTACTAAAATCCTCATTAATATATATATTAGTACCTTTTATTTTGTTCGCTTTATCCATAACTATTGCTTTATCTTCAAAGTCATGCAACTTTAGCACAACCGTTCTCACTCGTTCAGAACCACCATTACCAACTCGATGAGCACGTTCAATCCTAATATCTTTTACAAATTCAAGATTTTTAACAAAGAGTTTTTCGACTTTATTTTTAGTGTCTTCCCAATCTTTTTCATCTCACCCCACATTTCATTCATTTCACATTTCACCTCCCCAAGGTCGAGGTGGGCACTACAGTTGTGGAGGCTACTCTAGTTGTGATTACAGCCCTCTCTTAACTCTATAACTCAGAAACATGATCCTTGACGAACGAGGCCGCTGGAGAAACAAGTTGAGCGCGGTACTAGCGTAGACGAGGTAGGGATCGAACTCGGAACTTCTCATTTATCAGGCGAGCGCTCCACCACTACCCCACTACTGCATTTTTACTAGATACTTGTCATGTTTTTTGGAGCATTTAGAGCATAAAGTAAAGCTCTAAATGCTCCAAAAATAACTTGAAAACTTGGATATTATTAATTAATTAAACTAATTACCGATTGATTGTTATTAAGCTCACTTGATTGGTTGTTATTACCGAGGCTCAGTTGATTTTAGACGTAAGTTTTCTCAATTATGTAGCATTTTTCAGCGTGACAGAAATGTTTTAAACAATCAACTTTGGAGCAGTGTCAAATATGTTAAAAAGGCCATGTGTTTGGAAAAAAACAGTATGGCAAATAGTTAAAAAAGAATAGTGTTTCTAATTTATTATTCTTGTTTTATCAGAAATAGTAATATTGTTAAAAAATAAAAACCGAAGTAACGTCACAATTATATTTTTTTCAAAGAACAATTTAATATGTTATAGCTGGTATATGTAAATATAAAAATATAAATGATTTACAAAAGATTCTTTTTTAAATTGATAGACTACCTGCCCAAACAAAAAACATCAGTGAGTAGAGAGGCATGTTTTGAATGTTTTACCTTTTAATTTGGTCAATGTATTTGGTCAATTTTGGTCTTATTAAATACTAATCTCAGCAAGCGAATAGTAATCTTAGCGATTTATAACTGGAGTTGATGGATTATGCAAATTAATATTGGAGTCAACAGATTATATTTAGACCTTTTAATAATATGGTGTTATTGAAAATCTTTGGCCTGATTTTTAAAAAAACCTTAAAACTAAAGTCAACCTGGAGCCAGATCGCTGATAAACTGAAACGCATCTATTAACGCAAGATTTTTTAAAATTTTTTTAACGAGACTTGAAGATCAGCTCGATAAGCTAAGAAAAGAAACTAATGACAGAAACTTAAAACAAAAAGAAATAAATGGTTTTTCACTAACCAACATTCAGAAACAAAATTTGGTGTTTGAAAGAAGCAAAGAAAAAACAGAAAAACAAGCGTGTAAAAAAATTAAGATAGATGTGGAAAAAAACCTGGCCATATTACACCATTTCAACATCAAAAGATTTTGAGTGTAATAAGTCAGAATACAAATTTATTAAAAAGTTATTTTAAATTTTGTAGAACGTCAAAAAAATATCAAAATCTAAGTAATCAGAGCCCAATAAACGGTCTAAAAAAGACGTATAAAAAACGATCTAAATAAGACGTATAAAAAACGGTCTAAAAAAGATGTATAAAAAACGTCTAATAAGTTTAAAAAACGTATTAAAATAAACTTTTTTAGACCAAATGTGTGCTGTATTTTAGAATTATTTCAAATTATGAACTGTTTGAAATTTAATTGATTTATCTCGTTGGTTGTCTCTTGGATTAGCTTCATAAAATTCAGTGATGCTATGATTTTTATCAATTATAATTTTGTATCTAATTCATTCCAAGAATAAGATCATATTAACAACCGCGCTGAAAGCAACTGTACTATGTTAAACAGGTATTTGGTAAAAAGATATTGTTTCACTCCTGTTGAAACAATATCTTTTTACCAAATGTATCTGTTGAAACAAAATGTCTTGTAGTGGCACGGTCACGACATATCTTTTGAACAAAAAAAATTGAATTTTCAATAGAAATGATATAATTGTATTTTATTGCAACTATATTATAATTAAATAGCAAAACATGATTTGTTCATTAAAACTCTTTCATCATGAACCTCTTCACTTTTCTACTTTTTAAATGCAGATAAATTTGTTTTTTGCAAAAGATATGAAAATCTCAAGACCAAAACAACATTAGTACTAAAAGTAGTAAATACTACTTTTAGTACTAATGTAATAGGTGCAAAACAACATTAGTACTAAAAGTAGTAAATAATTGCGCAAAACAAGCAATTACACGATGAACATAATAAGTTTTTGTTTCAAACTGCCAAATACCATTACTAGCACTTTCCGAACCTTAAAAAAACATTTTTGGGGATTCTGAAGACTTTAACTAGAAATTAAAAAAACAGTAATATCAAATTTGACAATTGATTAACAGTTGCATTTTTTTTCAAAAAAATTATGTTTTATATGTTTTAGTGATGCTAACGAAATTGTCTGAATATTAATTTTAAACTTTTATTTATTCTTTTTCATTTCTACTATTAACTAACTAAATAGTTTCTTTGATAGATCTACTATAATTTTAACTTTCAGTATATTTTTAATTACTTTAAATTATTTTGTGGTTTCTGCCATCCCAAAAAGTATACAACGTAAAGTAAACAATAAAAAACAAATATAAAATATAAATAATAAGTAACAAATAAAGTCATAGCAAGAAAAGTAATAACATTTTTTAAATTAAACATTTTACGGCAAACTTAAATACTATTTAGATGCAAATAAAAAAAAATTAAAAAAAAAAGCTAAAAAAAAAAAAAACTCACCATTTTCAAAGCAGCTAAATAACGTTTATTGAGTATAGTTTTGGTTAAATTTTACTTTCATGCTGCGTAAGGTCGGAATTTTGCGTTGAAATTTTATTTTCATTTTTAAAGTTTTATCACGCACCAACCGCATTAAATACAAAAATTGCGCAAGGGATTTTGTTTTTGTAAGTGTAATTGAAATCATACATTGAAATTATACATGTATAATTTCAATGTGGCATTTATTTAAATTTTAAAAGATCTGAATTGATATTTTTAATAGCTTTTATAAGAGTATTTTTATTAAGTTTAGCTATATTTGGCTAAAAACCGAGTAATACCTTGGATAAAATTTTAATATATTTATATTAACATTATATTCTAGGTATCACTCAGTTTTAACTAAAATACAACTTTATTATTATTGTTATTTGCATAAATAACAACCTTTCCGGTACTTTAACATTAAACGTTTTAGTTTAAATAGTTGTGGGTTTTTTATTAAACGTGGTTTCATTAAACATTACATTAAACGTGGTTTCATTAAACATTTCTTATTAAGCTTATTTATAATAAAATATATATAAATTAAAATCATAAATAAAATTTGTTTATTTATGAAAAAACACTTTGTTATAACATGGAAGTATTCTATAATACTTCAATGGTTATAAGGAGTTATTATAGGGCGTTATTATAGGGCCTTATTATTAGGCTTATACATATTTTTTAGTTTGTAAACATTTAACATAAATAAAAAAGCAAACAAAGATTTTTTTTGATGCTTAAGACATCAGGCTAGTGTTAAACTTTGAACTTTGAGTTTTCATACTTGAGTAAATAGATATTTAAAGACTTTTCTTAACAAAAAATGACGTTAATTTAAAGTTGTTCACAGAAACCCCAAAAGGAGACGGCCCTAACGGTCCTTATATCGAGCTTGTGGAAAACAATCAAAGCATCTATTAAGTGCTAAATTAAACCAATCAATATATTATTTTGAAATAGTTGTTACAATTCAACTATACTTGCACATAAAAAACTATTTTAAAATTAAATATAATAAGAACAAAGTAGTCATAACATTAATAATTATAATAAATAACACTAATAACAACAATAACAATAACAATAATAAAAATGCTAATAATCACAATGAAAATTAAAATAATAAAAACATAAGTAACATTGGGGAACAATTTGAAACTTTTTTTCTGTCGACTTTTATGCTGTTTTTAACTTTTCAAATTTACCCCTGTACAACTTACCCTCCAGATAAGGAAAATTCTATTGTTTAGCTGTAATAAAGCTTTGTTTACACTGCAACTGAAAAAAGTGTGGGGAGTTGTGTTTACAGCTTCCAGTTGGTCAATACAACCAATATATTCAGATTTTATTTCAATGTATACTGTTTTTTCAGTTTTCTAATTTATAACTATTTTATCTTAGAGTTTTACTTACGCACATAAGTATATAAAAATATCACTATATTTTAGATCATGTCTGCGCCTACTTGTTTACGTCGTAAATGTATAAACAACCCAAAATCCTTTTGTTACATTTGAGGTTGTTTCATGATTCCAAGTCAGAGGAAAAATATTAGTACATTTGTCTAACAAGCATACTTTCCATGTTTTTAAGTAAAACTTGGTGATCAAAACAAGTCATTGGCCACTCACAAGATATGCAAGCAATGTGTTAAGATTTCACCTAAAAAAATTGAAAACGCGATTTAATATTGGTAACAGTAAAACAATATTGGCACAGGTGGTTACTTTTGTTTAGTGAAAATATCAAGATCTAACAAGAAAAATATAAGCTAAAATAGAATATCTAAATCTTCAGCTATTCCCAACGCCTCATTCCGTTGAAATATCAATACCAGTTTTTGAACAACTTCTTCACAACCTGAATTTGAACAACTCATGCAAAAAACCTTGAACATTTGCTTATTCTTTGTAAAGAACGTCAAGAACAACAAGTTAAGGCAATACAACAGGTCATCTGTGTTAAACTTAAAATAAGTCTGCTTTATTTTTGGCCAGCAACGCAAATACACAGAGTACACAACGCAAATACACAGAGTACACAACGCAAATACACAGAGTACACAATGGCACACAGATTTTTACTTTTTTGTATGATAGCAGAGCTTAAAAAAAGCATTCAATAGAGACAAAGACAGGAAGAAAACAATATTTTCACCTTTGCACATAAAACTAGGTCTCATGAAACAATTTGTAAAAGCATTACTCACTAAGGATGGCTGTTTCAAGAATATTATCTCACAATTTCATGGACTTCCAATTTTAAAAACCAAAGGTGGTGTGTTTAATGGTCCACAAGTTCGGCAGCTTATCTTGGTGCTGTTAAGTTGGAGGAAGGTGAACAATTTCACCTAGATTGGAAGGCTATGGAATAATGTTATTACGGTAGATTGGATGATATGATGGCTGACTATTGTTGGAGCATCAAACTTGATAGTCCTTAAGTTGAACTTTCCAAAAGTTAAGTTGAACACTCAAGAAAGAGCTAAAACTGAAACTTTCTACTTAACTACTTTCTAACAATTATAACAGCTAGCTAGATCTTTTATAAAAAAAATAATAGTGTTATATAAACATTGTATTTATGCCTGTTTCTTTCTTATTTTATTTTATTTTGATATATGTATTTTTTATGTAAAGTGACCACATATTGTTAATAAATAGAATATTTTTTTTAATTAAAAAAAAAATTATTCTAACATTAGTTTTAGGTTACCCACCAAAGATTAATTAAGAACAGTTGTCGAACCTGCGTCTGCAAAAATTTTAGTAATTTATGTAATTTATGACAAATGCTTAGCTCTTATAAGCAAGACAACTTATAAAGCCTCGCTAAAACAAATGTAAATTACTTTTTTTCTTTTTCTAGGTAAGGTTCAGTTGAGTTTTAAAGGCGTACCGCAAATACAATTCACTTTGGAAAAAATAGGCCAGATACGATGCAATTACAGAAGAAGTACAACTTGATGTACTATCCTATATTAGTTATATATTGTTATTGGATACTTTAAAGGCTTGAAACAAGGTACAAGCTTTGTCTCTCGATTCAAGTGCGTCAATGTCTCTGCAACATTAAAGGTTTCATGCGAAAGAGCAAAATCTAAGAAGCGATCGTACTTAAATTGTATAAAGTAAACAGTAACTATTTATTTCCCAAAAGTGTAAGATTCTTTTTTGTTTGACTAACACTGTATTTTCCTTGGCAACAGCGCACAGTGAGTCAGAAAGGTATAAAAACGGCAAAAAGGTTGTGTATTTCTTCTTCCTTTATTTTTTTCTTTTTCTTGATCCTTTTAAAATTCTTTTTTTCCTTTTGAAAAAAAGAGTTTTAAACGGATTACTTACTACTTATTGCTCGTTGCAACAGTTGGAATATTTTCAGATTTACGTTTTCGTAAATTTTCATTTGGGGTTTCTCTTGGCCAAAAAAGCAGTCATAGGATCAAAACTTTCCGGTTTTGATTTTTTTTCGGCTGTTTCCAAGTATTTTTTGCTGGATTATTTTGTCACGCTGTGTAAATTTATCATCACATTCTTTCCTAATATGAACTTTTTTGAACTCCAATAGCTGAGTATACAGTAGTCTCTCACTTTTTTGTTTTACAGACTTTTATAGATTGAAAAGCGCTGTATCTGTGATAGGTCCTTATCAAAATTCTTTCTTTCAGTTTTCTTTAAAACTTTCCAATTGCTGTGAGGTTAATTCTGATTCTTGCAACTGTAATTTATCGCATAATGGGGTCCTAGTAACATTGGACACGACTTTTGTAGCTAATAAACCAGTTTTATTTTCTGGCAATAGACAGAATGACGTTTTAAATCTATTGCATTAAAATTCCAAGGGTATAAACCCCATTTTTAAAGCCTTTTTTGATAAAAATTGATGAATTTGTGAAACTATCAACGCCCGATTTCAGAAGTTGTCCAAAATTTTGTTGCCCTACTCTTAAACATTTTAATATAAGAAGTTTAAAAAAAAACTTTGATACTTTTCATAGCAATATAGAAGAAACTTCTAATATTTTTAATATAATATGCATTACAGAGACATGGTGCAGTTCTGATGATGTTAAAAACTCAAATCTCCACCTTCCAGGTTTTAATTTAATTTCTTTAGCGCGTAAAAATAAAAAGCAAGGTGGTGGTATTCTTTTTTACGTGAATGAATACTTGCGGTTTATTAACAGGCCAGACTTAAGTATTTCTGACGGCGATAAAGAGGTTTTAAGTATTGAAATTTTAACTAAAAATGCAAAAAATATAATTTTAAGTTGTTGTTATCGCCCACCAAATGGAGTAATTGAGGATTTTAATGCCTTTTTACATAATGATATAATTAAAAAAAGTTCACATGAAAAGAAATTAAACTACATAATTGGTGATTTTAATTTAAACTGTTTTGAATACCACACTAATAATAACTTTAAAAAGTTTTACAATGACATTTTCGAAATTGGAGCGATACCGTTAATAAATAAGCCTACCAGAATATCATCAACATCAGCCTCTATATTAGATAATATAATTACAACTGACGTTTTTAACTTATCTTTAAAAAAAGATATTATTAAAAGTGACGTCTCTGATCACTTTCCCATTTTTTTCTCCATAAACACAAACATCAAAAAAATTCTACACCATAATAAACTTTTCATCAAACGTTTTTTTACGGAAGCGAATTGCTTTGCTTTTAAGGAACAATTATCTTTACTTCATTGGAAACATATAGATTCTAATGATGCTAATTTAGCTTATAATTCGTTTTTACAAACATTTTTTGAAATTTATGATATTAATTTTCCTAAGCATAAAATACTAAAAAAAAATAAAGATTTCACGTCACCATGGATTACAAAAGATCTCAGAAAAAGTTCTAAAGTTAAGCAAAAGTTGTATATAAAGTATTTAAAAACGAGAACATTAGAAAGTAAAACAATTTATAAAAATTACGCTAAAAAATTTGAAATGCAAAGAAAAAATTTAAAAAAAAGATACTACATTAATTTACTAGAAAAATATAAAGATAATTCAAAGCAAACATGGCAAGTTTTAAGAGAAATTACAGGCAGTAAGAAATTGAAAGCTAGCTCTTTACCTACCCTATCGGCACATCTAGTTTCTTTTTCGGAAATAAAACCTATATAAGCACGTGTTTTTGACGATCCAGGCGTAAACCAAAAGCACGTGTATATTACGGGCAGTTTTACTAGAGTTTAACACGTGTTTTTTGAGGTTTTAAAGTCAAATTTAAATGTCGCATATTTTTATCAGTGGTTTCACATTCCTAACGGAAAGATCTTAAAATATAATACTACGTTTCCATAACGGTGAAACCATTAATACTTTAACTGGTATTTATAGTTAATTTCACCGAATAAAAACCATTTAGGATACGTGTTATTCTTTTTGTTTTAGAAGGTTTTAAAAACGCAACAGAAACCAAGCGTAACTATTTTCTGAGTTGTGCCGGCTGGGCTAAAGCTATTAAAATTGATAATAAAATATTTGATGATCCAGGAGTGGTAGCTAATAAAATGAATGAATTCTTTTCTTCAGTTGGACCAAATTTAGCAAAAAAAATTTCAAACATAAACAAAACAATAAACAGATGTAGTTTTCCTTTAATATCTTATCTAAATTCTTTTGAATTGTCTTTTGATGAATTTGATAGAGCTTTTAAAATGCTAAAGTTAAATAAAGCAGTCGGTCCTGATGATATCAATGGAAACATTGTCATTGATTCATATGATATCATAAAAAATATCCTTTTTAAAATATTTAAATGCTCAATTCAACAAGGAATTTTTCCTGATGAATTAAAAATAGCTAGAGTTTCACCAATATTTAAAGGTGGAGACTTACTTAATGTTAGTAATTACCGCCCAATATCTGTTCTCTCTGTTTTCTCAAAGATTATAGAGAGAATTCTTTATAATAAAATTTTTAATCATCTTTCTCAAAATAATATCCTATACAAAAATCAATATGGGTTTAAAAAAAATAACTCCACTGAACACGCTATACTCCAAATAAAACAATATATTACTGAATCATTTGAAAGTTCCAAATTTACTTTAGGCATTTTTATTGACTTGTCTAAAGCCTTTGATACGATAGATCATAAAATTCTCTTTAAAAAACTTAAATATTATGGAATCTCTGGCAATGTTTTGAAGCTTTTAAAAAGTTATTTAAGTAATAGAAAGCAATTTGTTCACTATGACGTATCATCAAAATCAAACTTGTTAGATGTTTTTTGCATTTCAAATTTCAAACTTGTTAGATCAAACTTGTTATCATCAAAATCAAACTTGTTAGATGTAACATGCGGAGTTCCTCAAGGGTCTGTCCTAGGACCTCTCCTATTTCTCATTTACATAAACGACCTTTATGAAGCATCTAATTTAATGACAATTATGTTTGCTGACGACACGAATTTTTTTCTATCTCATGGTAACATAATTACCCTATTTCAAAGTATGAACATAGAATTAATTAAAATTTCAGAATGGTTTAAATTAAATAAGCTTTCTTTTAACATTGAAAAAACAAAATGGTCTCTTTTTCATCCATACTACAAAAAACATCATCTACCAAGTGAATTGCCTGCTCTTTTTATAGATGACATTCAAATTAAAAGAGTAAAGGCTACAAATTTTTTAGGGGTTTTTATTGATGAAAATCTGACATGGAAAAAACATATTGAAAACTTATCCTCTAAAATTTCCAAAAGTATAGGAATACTATTTAAAATAAGAACCATGCTAAATAAACATACTTTAGTTCAGCTTTACGACTCTTTTATTCATTGCCATCTAAACTATGCTAATGCGGCTTGGGGTAGTGTAAGGAAAACAAAATTAGAACCACTTTATTGCCAACAGAAACATGTTGCACGACTTATTAATTTTAAACATCGATTTTATCATGCTAAGCCTCTTTTAAACGAAATGAATATTCTTAATATATATCAACTTAATATTTTTAATGTATTGTGTTTTATGTTTAAATGTAAGTCTCGCACATCTCCAACTTCTTTTCACAATTTATATTCTTTAAAAGTTAAAAATAAATACAATTTGCGTAATGAAAATTTTATTCTTTAACCAGTTTTCAAAACTAATTTTGGTAAATTTTGTATTTCATTTAGAGGAGCATTTTTATGGAACAAAATAGTGTTAAAACTTCTTGATCTCTCTCTTGAATGGAACTTTTTCTTATTTAAAAGAAAATTAAAAGAAATTCTTTTCTCAGTTGAAAACATTCTGATATATTTTTAAGTTTGTTTTGTTTTTTATTAATACTCTTAAGAAATATTTTATTGTAATTTATATATACGAAATCTTTTATTTTAACTTATATATATATGTATGTATATGTATATGTGTGTGTGTGTGTATATGTGTATGTATATATGTGTATATGTATGTATGTATGTATATATATATATATATGTATATATGGATATATGTATATATATATGTATATGTGTATGTATATTTGTGTATGTACGTATATACCCAGCAGGCACAATGACGTTGAAATAACGTTGAAACAACGTCGCAAACCGACCATATACCACGTTGAAACAACGTTGAAATTTGGTGGAATTGGAAATAAAATCCGACGTCGAAAACTACGACGTTGAAACAACGTCGATGATTACGTCGTTTCAACGTTGATCTAACGTCTTATCGACTATATATCAACCATATTTCAACTTTGAATAGGTGATATATTCGATTGATACGTAGTTGATAAGACGTTAGAACAACGTTGAAACAACGTAAATTCAACGTTGATTTTTGTTTTTTATTTTGGGTAAATCCAATTAACTAAAAAATTATCTCAACTTTAATTGCAATAAAATGACACAATAAAAAAGCAATAATTTGCGCAGAGGATATTATATTTCACGTAAATTAATCAGATACAACTAAATTGTTTCAACGGACTTTATATACAATGCAAATAAAGTGAAATGTTTGAAAAAAAAAAGTTTAATTTATCAGTAATATATTTATCAATTTATCAATAATAACTATTATCAATAGTTCCAGAACAACTAGGAAAAAGTATGAATATTATACATTGGGTGAATCGCCTTTTACGCGCCGACCACCACCATTTGATCTGCCGAGTGTGTATTTTAATAAAGTCATTATTCCTTTTCTTATTTCGGCAACTGTAGCAGTCACTTTAATTGACAAAACGCTCTCTATAAAAAAGGTATTGCCTGAGTAACTTACATCAAATACATCAAAAAGTTAAAAAAATAAATTAGCATTAAAAAAAAGGAACTGTGATTTTTTAAAAATATATAATTTTACACTTAACTTACAAGTAAATACATAATGTTTGTTCCTTTAAACTTCTCTTTATTTTTACCGCCAGCCATATTAAATTTTGATTATAAACCATTGGTCAACAACCTGCATTATACATTGTTATTATTATTATAGTTACATTAAAAATTGATAAACATGTCTTTTACAAAATACAAATTATTCTCAATGAAAAATTGCACAAACCGCAAAAGTTTCTTACCAAACCGTAATGTAAATAAGAAAAAGAATTGATACAGGGGAAGAGTTTGGTCCAAGGAGACCACCTTCTAAACGCAAGAAAACACCAAGAGCAAACAGTATAATTAGAAATATCTGCCTGGAAAAGAGAAAAAAAGCCACTAAGCTTATCCATGAAGCTGTAATTGTTGTGTCAGATCGGACCATTTGTAGAAGGCTAAAAGAAGTGGGATTGATGTCCAGCCAAAAAAGTCAAAAATTGACAAAAAGACTTAAAAATAATGTCAAAAATCTTACATTTATGCAAGATGGTGCAACTTGCCACACAACAAAAACTGTTATGGCTTAGTTGATGTATTCCTGTAGCCAGACAACTCGCATGATCTTAACCCCATAGAAAACATTTGGGAAATAGTAAAGCAAGAAATTGGATAAAAAAATCTTACTAATAAGCAAGATCTTATGGAAGAGATTATCAAGATCTGTCATAACAACCCAGAGTTGACAGAAACTATAAAAATAAATTGCAAGCATGCCATAATGCAATGAAGCAGTTATTGCAAATAAAAGTGTTTTTGCAAAATATTTATACTTTATATATATTTTATATAATTTATCATAATAATCAATAAATATTCAAAACCTTCAACTTTATTTGTTTATTTTTATCAAACAACTTTATAAATAAAAGAAAAAACTTTAAATTGCACCATTATTGTATATATATATATATATATATATATATATATATATATATATATATATATATATATATATATATATATATATATATATATATATATATATATATATATATATATATATATATATATATATATATATATATATATATATATATATATATATATATATATATATATATATATATTCATATATATATATATATATATATATATATATATATATATATATATATATATATAATATATTCATATAAGCATATGTATGTATATATACATATATATATATATGTATGTTTATTTATGTACATATATATGTATGTATATATAGAGTAAAAAAAAGATCAAGTATGCGTTACAAATCAACCTTTGTACTTTAAGGTTGTTCTTTAGCTCAAGGAAATACAAAAATAGAAAACAGTTACAAAAAAAAAAGATTTATTTTATGTCTGATTAGAATTCGTCAAACTTTTAAAAATATATGCTACACATATTTTTAACACAAGTTTAAAACAAACTATAATAAAAAGATTCAAAAGATTTTTTATTTAAAACTACTTTAAACAAACCTTTGCATCACATTTTTTTGTCTAAATGGTTTTACCTCCAATTTTAGAAAGTTTGTTAACCTAAAGGTTTAAGAAAATAATTACACCACATTATTTTTATAGTACATTTATAAAACGTTACAAGTAGATTAACTTAGGCTAAGTTATTAATAAATACTTAATCAAAAAACAATTTAAAAAACTGCAAAAAGTCATGGTTTGAAACAACCCATCACTTCTGACCTCACCCAAGAATCATTTAAACTGTTATCATAATCATTAAATTACTGCTGCAAGTTCATCCATAGAATTTCAGAACTATTTGTCATGATATTACTTTAATTACTGGAAAGAGTTTTTACTAACATCTCTTTCTAACAATAAAGATATATCAGAAAGACAAAAGAATCAAACATTAATTAATTTCTAAAAGCATTGAAACACAAGAACAAAAAATTAATAAAATAAAACATTATTCATAAATTAAATAAAATGTATTAACTTAGCAACCAAAGACATGTGTAAATCACTAAAGCATAGAAAAAAATGTTCAGAATCTTTTCTTCCTAAATCAACTTACAGACAGGGTTGGAAAAAATCACGATTTTTTTAAAAAAATCAAAAAAATCAGATTTTTTTGATTTAAATCAGATTTTTTTGATTTAAATAAAATATTTTTTGATTAACTTTTAATATAATTTAAAGTAATATGAAATTGGTTGACTGTGTTTTTTTATACATAATGCAGTGGTCAAACAGGTCAAAAGTATACTCAGGATTCTAAAATCATTTCTTTTAACCTTATACCTCCACAAAACTATCCACACTATGCGATTGTATAAAGATTTTCTGGATATTTATTATATTAAGTTTAGATAGTATTAAGTTTTTTCTTAAATATTGTTGTTATAATTTAATATTGACTGTTTGTCAAAATTTTTGTCAAAAAAATATTACTCTTAAATGGTTTAAAACTCTAGCTATATTTTTGCAGAAACAAAAATATTTAAAACATACTAAACAAAAACAAAAAAATATGTCTGGAAGAAGATCTAACTCAGTATGGTCCAAATTTGAAAAGCTTGAAACAAAAAGTGGGAAGGGATGTAAAGCAAGATGTAGGATATGCAAAAAAGAACTGCAGGGTCTGGTGGCAAGAATGAAAGTACACTTAAATAAATGTTGTCACGAAAATAATACAGAAGGTGATATAATGTACACTTTATAATAATTAATTATTTTTTTAATTAGTATTATTTAATTCAAAGTATTTTTTTAGAAATTGAATTTCAAACTACTTCTTCCAATATTCAATTTGATGTTACAAAGCAACCCTCAGAATCATCTGTTTTAGCAGAAAAATGTTATTTAAATGTATCAGCAAAAAAATCACGTACTGAAAATATAAATAATAATATAAATAAATAATGTTATAGGCTATATATATATAAATAATGTTATCCAATAGTTGTTATTGTGGATTATTTGTATTCTGCTTGACTTTAGCTTGGATATTTTAAGCAAAGGACCTAACCCAGTATCTTCCAAGTCTTCCGCAAAAGGAAATTGCTTGTGGAGCAAAAGTTGAGCATGGTTAATTTCATTACAGTTTAACCAATCACCACTTTGTATTACTTTTTCCATATTGGAGTCGAATATTGAATGAAATCGATAAAACTTAAGTTCTCCCGGTCTCCCTTTTTTTAATTGAGTAATTACCAACTCTTCTTCTACAGTTTCCATCTTATCTTCAACACGCTGTTTTTCTTCTTCGCAAATTTCAATGATGATGTCCTCTTGATCAGAGGAGTCAGTATTGAGCTCCAGCTCTGTAATTCCTCCTCTATTGATCAGTCTTGATCAGAGCTCCAGATTTGCTCTGTAACATTGTTTCACATTGTAATTCCTCCTCTACTGCATGGTTCAGATTTTACTACCTCGCCTAAAGACAGCGCTGAATTGTTTGCTAAGAACTTTTTATTATCTTATCTCTTGATTAATCACATCCTACCTGATATACCCGACAAACAGTGTATTAATAATCTCTCATCTAACCCTAAACTGTTTTTTAAATTTTATATTTAATATATAAGTATTTAAGTTAAACTCAAAGCTATATATATATATATTTGTCTGTCTGTAAGTTACAGACAGACAAATAATACCTTGAGCTACAGTATGTGGAGTATACATAAAAATTGTTTTCTGTTTCTTTTTTTGCGTTACAGGAGTAGGTATTTGCTTACTATTCTGTTGGTTATTATGTTTTCTCTTGCATAAGCATGGTAGTTGCTCCTATAAAAATTAATATCAAAATATAACTAATAATACTTGAATTAAGTATCTTTTGAAATAGTTACCGTTTTCTGAACCTGATTCTATCTGAGTATCATTAGTAGAGGCAAATTCAAATTTATTACATAACTCATAATCTAAGAATATTCATTCAATTTGAAAATGTTTTAAATACATTATATAATAAAGAATATATAATAAAGAATATATCTAAACACTGAAAACAACATATACAGAATGAAAGCATGTTAAAAAAACAGGGAAAAAAAGTAATGACTTAAGGTTTATATAAAAAAAAATTACATTATCTCCATGACATTTAATTTTGAGCAGCATAAATCTGTATTAGTTAGATGCAGTTTATGCATTTCATTGAAATAATTTATTACATTTAATTATGATGGCCAGCACAAAAAATTATCAATCGAATTTTCTCTCTTTATTTCTCTGTATTTTCTATCCAAACAGCTTGAATGAACATTTTGCATGCCCTACTATACTTTTTCAACTGGAAAAGTATAGTAGAAAATATAATAGAAAAAATACTTATATATTAAAAATTTGTTCATGTAAAATAGCTAACAGAAAAATACGACTTTAAACTGTACGTTATGATACATTATACAGTTGCTAAAATTTGCTAAATTTTTATGTTGATCCTTCTACCAACCAATATCATGGAATAAAGGAGCACGGACAAATTTTTTTTTATACAGCTTTACAAGAAAAATCTTTGAAAAATTTAATAAAATTTTTTTAATATAAAAAATATTCAAACTCTTTAAATCACATGGATTGGTAAAAAAGCTTGATAAATCATTATTTTGTAAAACATCATCCATTATATATATTTATATTATGTATACATATATACATGTATAGTGTATGTATATATTATATATGCATATTATATATATGTATATATATATATATATATATATATATATATATATATATATATATATATATATATATATATATATATATATATATATATATACATGCATATATATATATATATATATATATACATATATATATATATATATATATATATATATATATATATATATATATATATATATATATATATATATATATATATATATATATATATATATATATATATATATATATATATATATATATATATATATATATATATATATATTAAAACATATATAATATATATTTTATATTTATAAAATATATCAAGTAGTCTCTACTTGTAATCCACACTTATGAAATAATACGGTCATAAAGAAATATCCATTTAATATTTACCTAACTAACTGCATCACAAGTTAAGCCATATGTTATTGTTAAATTGTCAAATTCAAAACCTTATAAAAAGGCAACAGATGACCTAATTTATAAGCATGTGTGACTTTACTTGTTTTTATTGGGCTAATAAGTAACTTGTTAAGTCTTTACTTTTTATTTATGTTGATTAAAAAATTTTCACGCATGCGTATTTTAGTTCTCATATTGCAATTACGAACGATCGAACTCGTAATATAGACGTTGAATTAATGTGGAATCAATGTCGATTTTATTTGATAGTTTTAAACAAATTTTTCAACGTTGATACAACGTTGATTTTTGGTTATACGACGTCGTGACTAAAAATCAACTGTAAATCAACGTCGAAATAACGTCGTGTGCCCACTGGGTATGTATGTGTATTTGTGCGTATTATATGCATGTGTATATATATATATATATTGATGTGTAAGTATATTTATTTACATGTTTGTATGTTTAATATGTATAAATAATTATATTTGTATTTATGTGTGAATATTTGTCTATGAATTATTAAAGGATTATTTATTATTTAAAAACTGTTTAGGCGGTTCTCGATGACAAGATCTTCTGATCTTCTGCGAGTATCCGCGTTCTTGTTGTAACGTTAACAAAATTGTAATTCTGACTATACGTATTTTATTCATTCTTATATTGTAAAACTTATTTTGAATAAATAAAAAGAACAAAAAAAAAAAAAAAAAAAAAAAATTAAACGTGGGTCCAAGTTCTTAAAACTCTCCAAAACATTGTAAAAATTTGTTTTAAAAGTCCAAGCAATTTACAATTCAGTGGCTGAAGAAGTCTGGTTGCGTTTTGTAGGAGAGAGATGAGAATTAGACCGTTTAGCTTGCAATATTCGGCGGTATCAATGTTTACATGACTTTTATGACCATTAACAAAAATTATGACAAGCCTTTTAATATTTTTTTTGTCAAGTTATTTGACAAGGTTGTTTGACAAATACTCATCCGAGATTCCTACAATCCATTCTAATAATGTATACATGGCCATATCTCTTGTAATTCAACGCCCAGGGTAAATAATCATGAGTGAACCAAAGCTGTTCAGCCAATAAGAACTGTATACGCCTTTTTTTCGCAATTCTTTGCAATATTGTATGCGTTTTCTGACTGGGTGAAAGCGCATAGAGCTTTAAATGCTTGTGAACAACTTTAAATCTCAATTTGTCAAAGTTTACAATTCTGTCACGGCAAATTTGTTGACACCAATGCTTTCCTGTTTCAAATACTCTTTGACTTCTTTAAACTAATTCTTAATATGAACATAATGATTTTTAAAAACCAGCTTTTCTGAAAAATGTTTTTTATTTGCTTGCCAATAATTGGATGTTGTGCTAAATACTTGAAGTTCAATTTTTTAAGTGAAATGTTTCAGGAACTCGCCTTTAATGTCTGATTTTGTTTCAGTCACAGGAAATCAAATTTTTGCTAGGTGAATTATTGTGTCTTCAATTTTTTGATCTTCTTCGGCGGTCAAATCGGTACCAGGACCAGTTTTATTAGTCTTAAGGATTCTAAAAGCAATATTTCACAAAGTTGAGTAAGGAATTGCAAACTTTGAAGCGACTTTTCTAATTTTTTGGTTTACTTTGCAATTAAAACGACAGTTGGTCCTAAGTATAGTTTCTCCCTGAAGGCTTTTTTTGCTAGCTATAACCAAAAAACAACATGAAAACTAGTTTTTTCATGTTTTATTCTAAGTGATCTAATGTTTACTTCTCATGAGAAAAAATACATAAATGGATCAAAGTTTATTTTAAAATTATGTCATTATAATAGGTTTTCCAGGCCTGATTTTTAAAAAACTAAACATACCTTTTTAGCTTTTATTTCTGCTCTTTATTACCATTTGTAACAGGTGCTTTAAGCAAAAAAACAAGCAATTAAAAACTTTGCTTGCTTTGCAAAACAATAAAAATGAAGTTAGAGCTGTCACTTTTTGACAGCTCATATTTTAGCGGTTTTCTTTTTTTGATCGGTAACAATAACTTTTTTCAATAGGCGCTTTCATTTTTTTACTAATAATAAAAACATTTTGAGTGAATTGAAATTACTTTAATAAATAAAATTTAGAGTAAAGTAAGAATGATCCATTTTTGTGGGTGATCCAAAATTGTGGGATTACATTTAAAATTTAATTTGCATTTAAGTTACATTTAAAATTTAGTTTACATTTAAATATTATTTAGATTTTTCTTAAGATTTATCACTTCAGGTTCGTCAACACTTTCATGGTCAGACCCTCTAATCTAAAAAACTCAGTTAGATGATAATCATGATAATTTATTTGAGAATTTACTTACTCCAGTAATTTTTCATAATTAATTCATAACTCTTAAATGATTGGAATTAAATATATTCTACTCACGATGAATGTAAGCAATAAACTATTGTTACTTTATGCGTAAGTTTTAATAATAAGTTTTTAAACTATCCCGGCAAATAGAAAAGATTTAAATAAAAAGATTTGCCTGCATCTGTCTGGTGATTCTCGTTGGATTCTAGCGCAAAATCTAATTTTTTTCAGCTTGTAATAGGGATTCGTAAAAGAATGGAAACATTGTAAAAATGTAAACATTATAGAAAATTTAGATATTATATTTATATGCAACAAAACATATAGAATATTATGTTATTGGATTGATAGGCATTTTAACGCATCATAGACGTAGTTCAAACTAGTGGTCGCTGGTATCGCCAACTATTAGGGCTGCCTTGGTGTCAGGCCTAAAGGTTGGCGACACTTGGTGTTAAAATAAATTACCTAACTTGGTGTTAGGCCTCCTATTTTAGGTATTTTATATGTATAATTAATTAATATATATATATATATATATATATATATATATATATATATATATATATATATATATATATATATATATATATATTAAAAAAAAATTATACTATTTATAAATTTATTATTATATATTATTTTATTATATAATATTTTCAAAAAATTCATACTATTCCTACAAGAAATATTTGAAATTATTACACATGGAAACCAAGAATGTTTATTAAACAAAAAATTGGAGTGGCTTTTTAAATGCAAGGACGAAAATAAGTTTCTACTCAAAAACTATAAAAATAAGTGAGCTTTAATAATAATTACAATCAATCCCCACGTTTAAAAAATATTTTTTTAAAAAACAGAAGTAATAAATTCTAAAGAATTCTTTTTATAATAGTGTCAACTTATTCCACAAATATGTGAAAATTTACAATAGTTAAGACTAGAGGTGTACCGGATATGATATCCAGCCGGATATGATATCCAGCCAGT